TGTTCACGATTAAACATATGTTTCCAGAAAGGCCACAACGAGGCAATTTAACTGATTACACATTTGTATATTTTTAGCCCCGTGTTCACAGGCACTTATTTTGGGTGTGAGACATATGTACTTGAAATTTATGAATGATACTGGTGTCACGTGATGAGGTTTAAAGCTTGGAACGCCATTACCTCCAGCAGATAATTGTCACTTTGCCACACCTAATATGGGGACAACGTTCACGCAGGATTCTGGTGGAGCCGGGGTCAAGGCATATTTCATGCCCATAGTGACGATAGCCTCCACGTTTTATTAAAATTTCACAGGTATAATTTTCACACATAGAATTATGAAAGATTTTATTCAACAACATATGATTGCAGCATCCAGATATAGACAAAGGAATACACTTCCGTTTGTGCTCGCTCAACTTCCTCTGTACTTCCTGGTGTACGGGAAAACTTTCCGCTAGTAATTACTACCACTTCTACTACTTCTCAGTGTGGCGCATATTTTTAGTATTTTACAAAATGAAGATAGTCACCTGGAATATAAATGGTATACGGTCGTTCAGATGTGGGATCAAAAAGACGCTTGATGAGCTGGACGCGGATATCATATGCGTGCAGGAGACCAAAGTGACAAGTAAGCGGAGAACACGCGGGCTAATTAAAATAGTTAATGCAGCTTTTTTATTTCAACTAACTCGAATTGTGCCTAGGAGACCTGCTCGATGAGAGGATTGCCATCGTTGATGGTTATAACTCCTATTTCAGCTTCAGTCGAGGACGCAGTGGCTACTCAGGTTTGTTATCCTGACGTCACCGTTTCAATTATATTTTCAGGCTTTCAGGCATGCCATCAGTTTAATATGCTAAAGAAAAAAATTCCGCTGAGCCTGACTTATTAGATGATCAACTTTTGCAGTGTCACAGAGAAGGGGAGCCAGACTCTCTTGATTTCACATTGTACTCGTTGTGTGTAGGTGTCGCCACTTATTGTAAGGACAATGCCACACCTATAGCTGCTGAGGAGGGTCTCACCGGTCTGTTGACCAATAACGCAGGGGGTATTGGTTGTTATGGTAACCACTCCGAGTTTACAGACGAGGAGCTGCAGCTTTTGGACAACGAAGGCCGAGCTATCATCACGCAACACAGAGTACAGTAAGAACATTAACTCAGTTGGACTGACTGGATGTTTATGTATGGCTGTATTTTCTAGTTACTGTTGCTGTTTGTCCTGACAGGTGTTCGGACAAAATCCAAACTATTACTGTGATAAATGTTTACTGTCCGCGAGCTGACCCGGAAAAGCCAGAACGAAGACAGTTCAAACTGCAGTTCTACAAGTTGCTTCAGACTCGAGCTGAGGCTATGTTGAAGAACGGGAGGTGTGAGGGGAATCTTGCATTCATTGGATCAAACTGGCACTAACTCCTCATTTCTCATTTCAGTTGTTTTCTTTTCTAGCTCTGTAATCCTTTTAGGGGATGTAAATACCTCTCATCGGCCAATAGACCACTGCG